ACGCTATTCGAAAATGTTGAAAAGTAGTTGTTTTTTGAAAATACTGCTCATTTTGTCAACTAAATCCATTTCCTTTTAAAATATGATGGAAAAGCTAATAAGTGAATTTGAAAAAGGCTATTTTGTAGAGAATTTCACGGCGCATCTTTTCATAAAAAAAGTTGTGTCTTTTCGTTGAAAGAAAAAAAAGGAGTTAATGCTAAAATATTGAGAGGGCCATTTATTCTGTCGCATCCGTTATCTCTAAGAAGGTGGTTAAAGCATAAGAGACCATTCATGATATATTGCTAATATGCATAGCTTATCGGCCAATGTCAGTGTTTTTGATGAAAAGTCGATAGCAAACGAAATTCATGTTCAACATGCCTTATCTCTTCGAAAATAGACTGAAAAAAACAAGCATATTTGCAGAAGTTTTTCGAATCGTATTGAATCAATTCCAACACGCAAATCAAAATTTAGACAAGAGCAGCTTTTGCTTCTTCTAAGTCATTTACAAGTCGAATTGAAACCTCATAATCAGGTGAATAGTACTTGTTTTGAATAGCAAGTGCTTGTTCTAGGAGTGGTACTGCTTTTTGATAGTCACCACTGTCTTTATAGATTAATCCTAGGTTATGATAACTATCAGCCATCGCTTGATGATCGGATGGGTACAATTTCTCTTTAATTCCCAAAGATGCTTCAAAATATTCTTGCGCAGTTTGATTATTGTTAGTGGAATAGTAAAGTGTTCCTATACTATCATATAGTGCTGCGAATTCATAATGTATGGGTGGTAGTGAGTTTTACATGATATTGAGTGCCTGGATATAATGTTCCAAAGCTTCATTGCCCAAAAATAATTCACCTTGTACATAAGCAATAGCCATGTGAGCACGTGCAATGTCTGAAGGATTCTCTGGAAGACATTTCATCCAAATGTTCAATGCTTGTTCATACATATGAATTGATTCCTCGAGCTTTTTCTCAAACAATTTAATATCACCAATATTATAAAGACACATAGCTACAGCCTCATGATCATCACCATATGCTTTTTTGTAAATATTCAAGGCTTTGTCGTAAAATTCAAGTGCACGACCGAAATCACTCTTCCTGAAATAAGCCACACCACAACAGGTATATGTGTTTGCTATGCGGGAATCATCTGGAGAAAGTGTTTCAAGTTTTATTGCTAAGACTTTTTCGAAACACTCGAGACTTTCTTCGAATTCACCACGATCATCAAGTACATTGCCTAATTGATGATAAACAAGTTGCAATCAATGGACCATTGGCAGGTAGTTCCTTAAGAACATTTTGAAAGAATTTTTCAGCTTGTTCAACTTTACTAGCATTGGCAAGAACAATACCATATATTAATGAACTACATTCAGGTGGTACATCTTCACTCATATATTCAAATAATTTTTTAAGATTATGATCATCATCACTACAAAGAAGTAACTTTATCACATTGATACCACCAATCTTTAAGTCGATGTCGATAATACGAAAAATACTACCAGCCATAAATAAGACTTCAGATTCATCCGGAAATGCACTCTTTTCTGTAATGTTAGCAAATGGTTTCATTGAAGGTGAATATTCATTGATATTGATTTCGAAGAGTACGGAAGTTAATTCTTCTTCGAGATTTTCTTCTGTTAACAAGAACATTGCATGTACTCGTTGAAGTGTTGTAGAAAAAAACGAGTTCATCGATATGAGTTCGCCGATTTTAAAGAGTTCAAGTTCTAATTTTGATATCAACTGTCCTCGATAAACTTGAGTAATCGAGCTTGATGCACGACGCTGTTGTTCAACAAGTTGATGGCGAATATCTCGAATAAAAGTGTGCATGACGTAGAGTGCATCGATATTTTGAGCACGAAAGGCTTTATTTAAAACACGATAAAAAAACGAATCTTGTATGTACCAAAATAATGTTTGATCAGCTAAATAGGTGGTTTCAAATTCATTGATCTTTTCCAATACACTTGCATTATCTGCGTATTCTTTACGAAAAGATGCAATTGCCGATGTTTTGTCGTTGTTGCTATTTGAGTTCATGGTGAGAAGTGAGTCAAGAAGAAGTTGTGAATGCAGAAATTCTCCATTTATTTCAGTTGAGGTATTGTCTTCTTCGTCTGAACCAACTATTTGAAAAGTACCAAATCCTAATGGTTCCTGCCAATAAGTTCTTTTCCTTTGATCACTTCTGAGGGTGGGTGGGGGTGTGTGGGGGGTGGGTGGTGTGGGTGGTGTGGGTGTGGGTGTGAGTGTGGGGTGTGGGTATGGAGTGTAAGTGTGGGTGCGAGTGAGTGTGGGTGTGAATGTGCGTTCGGGTCTTCTAATTTGCAACTACCGCACTCCATCCACATATCCACACCCTATTATTTCAAGATAAAGAAATCCGTTTCTAAAACGAAAATTTAAAATCAATACATTTGTTTGAAATAAGTTCAATTCAGTAGACATTGAAATTCTATGATAATATACAAAAATAAATAATCTCGATTTATGAAACGACATCAATGCAACTGAATACTATAATTGTTTAAGAAATTTTATCGACATGATTTCATTTGATATTCGACCTTTGCAATATCTCGATTGACTCATTCAATTGGTAACCTACAGACATCTATTCAATATTCATACCGACAGCTTTTTCTTGCTCAACTTTACTAAACATATTGAAATTCAAAACAATTGATTCAATTTACAATAAATGATTATTCACATCAAGAGAAAAAAGAATTTTGATTCATTATCAGACTGTTGAAAGTGTTGTACACAACATTGATATGTATCATATTCACGAATAATGATCTAGTTATGCAAACATTACATTATATAATTAAGTCATTAATAAGATTAAGAGATAATTAAATGTCTAAAGATATACATTTTTTTTTTTATAGATTTCTTCATATTTAAATAAAAATAAAAATGAATATTTATTGGTGTATTTTTCCCAATTGAAAAATCTTCGTTAATTTCGATTGACTTTTCTCCTGTTTCTCAACTACAGAACTTTTATAATTATAACAATGAAACGAAAGACAACATCATCGGGAAGGTGCGTTATTGAAAAACAAATACAATAATCATCAAATCAAAATGAGAATATACAAAGCTAAAACAATGAGTAAAGTTTGTGGAGATAAACATCATACAACAGTAAGACAATATGGTAAAATAATTTGAGAATATGGAAATGCAACAATAGATGAATTAGATCAAATTGATTCATCATCGAATGATAATAATGATCAACCAATTATTGGCAAGAAGAGACGAAAGAAAATATTATTTGAGTTAGTTCTTTTTTATTTTGAAAGAAAAACATCTAGTTGTCTCGCTATTTTTTACTGAATATATTTTATTTTTTCCGCTTCGTCAAAACTAAATCTCTTTTTCGATTGAAAATAAACTTGTCGACAAAAGCATCATTTTCCTCAACAACAACAGAAAAAAAAAGAAAAAACGTGTCAATTCTGATCGGATGAGCATTTGATAGCTTATAAACAACTAGAAAAAAACTTTTTCTCTAAATTTCATTTACGATTCACTCACACATTAGCATATCGATTTAATCTTGAGGGTGTGGGTGTGTATCTTTTCTTCTGTCATCAGTATACTTACACCCCACACCCATCCAAGTATCAATTGCTATTTTACATGAAAATATCGATGAAAAATAACTTGTAAAGAATTTTCTATTTTGTTTAGATAGCATATCATATGTAAAGAAATGAATTTTCAATATATCCTGCTTAACCATTACATGATCTTAGTTTATTGTTTTGTTTTTTTGTAATTTATTAATGATAATCAATTAAAACATTTATATATGGTCATTTTATTTGTTGTGTATAAAATACAAAAAATATTGTGTAAGTCAAATGATCATTTTTATAAATTTTCAATCGATGGAGTATTAGTTGGAAAATTAAATAGTTAGATAGAATCTTTCGAGTCATTTCTAAAAATATTGTTTTTTGATAGACTCGAACAATGTTATAATGGCGAAAACTAGATTTGCAAGAAAGTATAAAATTTTTTTCTGTGATATTTTTGTATTTTATTGATATTTAGATAAAATACTTCTATTTCATACATTTAACAATCAAATTTTATCACTTGTTATCCATATGAGTCGAAATGACAATCAAAATATAACAGAAAATATAAGCATAATTAACATGTTTACCAATTTGCAGTATTTAAATTTTGTTTCATCGTCACTTTGGTATCAATTATTATTATTTCATTATTCACCTTCAGCTATTTTCTCATAAAATCTATTAGAATTGTACGTCAGTTTGGATAATTTCATTGATTGTCTTTTTTTTTCACTTGATAGTATATTATTTAATACCTAATTAAATGAGTCAATAATATTATTTTTTTTTAGGAAAAATTCTCTAAGTTAAGACGCTTCGAACAATTCTTTGATCTGGTTCTATATAGATATGATGAATTAATTGTACCATTTCTACATTGAATGTTAAATTTAGAAGAAGAACTCAGTTTGAAGGATATTATTGATCATATGACACAATTAAATAAATTTATATATAATATTTATTCAATCATTGATCTTGATAATCAAATTATTACTTGTGTTGATTATATTTCAGAGGTAGTAGAAGGTCGATGTTATATTTATTCATATCCGTATACATTGAAAAAGTCCAATAATATAACAAATAATTTTTCAGGTGGATTATTTGAATTGATGAAAGAATTAACTTTACGTAATCAAAACCCACAAAAGAATAAATAATGTATAATATCAAAAGATGAAGATCAAGATTTCTCAATTGTTAAATATTCTCATCTTAATGATCTCAATCTACATGAAGTTCATGATGATTATAAATGTTACACACAATTTTAAAAGAGATGCAACATGGATTAATTGTTCAAAAATTATTTTTTTGAATACACATCTATTTATATAATGATTGTTATTCTTTAAAAAAAATTAATTTCTTTAATAATTCTTAATATTACAGCTGTTTAAATTGTTTATATAAACTTAAACGTTTTAACTATTTGGAAAAATACACAGTAAACTTGAGTTTTAATATTATATCGCTTCTTTTAAATGATGTCTTCCAAAATCATTTTAGTTATAGACCATTCATTTTTGTAGTGAGTAAATTTTTATAAACCTAAGTTTTATATAATTGTCTATCTAATCACTACTATGTTACATTCTGGTATTGGAAAAAGAAAATTTTGAAAATATCAGTTTTATCCTGAAAGTAATTGTTTATTTGAAAATTTTTCAAGAAATGAAATTTATCACAAATTTAATGAATGTTTCTAGAGCAATAGCAATATTGAACATACTTTTTCATTAATTCTTTCATCATTACTCAAATATTACAAATGTTTATCTGATGAAAATGAATTAATCTTATTCGATCAATTTCAATTATTATCTCGTTTGTCTTTCTTTGAAAATTTTCAAAAATAAATAATTTATTTAGTTTCATCTCAAATTATTTTTATTCGTTTACTTATGCATCGTTGTAAATGACTTCGACGACCCACTATCATTTATGAAATCTCTGATCTATCAAATAATGCAAATTATTCAATTCGGCATGTAGAAAAAAGATCTATTACAAGATAGTAAAAAATTTTATTTCTTTTTTCAAATAATATTTAATGAGATTTTCTTTTTAAAGTTTCATGATTAGATGATTTTGATGTAGGTCTTTATTTAATAAATAATGACGAAATATGTCATTTTTGTAAAATAAAACAATGCTTCGTTCAACAATAACAAATCATGA